TATATATATATATATATATATATATATATATATATATATATATATATATATATATATATATATATATATATATATATATATATATATATATAGATATACATACATATATATATATATATATATATATATATATATATATAACCTCTGAGTATCATATTTGTAGGTCAATTGGAAGTAATTTAGAAAGTACGGCGGTCCAATGTTGAACACAATTGCGCAGATGCGAGAACAGCAATTGATCACAGATGTACTTGTTTACAGCAAAACGTACGTACGTTTTTTATTCTTACAAAGTTACTATGTTGCACCAGCACACACACACATATATCCCAACATTCCGTTTGTGTTGGATAGGCCGACTATAACAACTGACCACAAGCAATCATGTTACCATACTCCAGCACAGCTAATGGAAGTAAAACGTACGTACGTTTTCACTATTTTATCCAACCATACCACACGCACGAGCATCCCATTCTACCAATGCATGCAGTGTATATTTACTTAAATTCGTAAATACAAAAGATGAATGTGCATACGTTTTTGCCTCTTGTCCAAAAAGATCACACTGGCGAGTATACCGGCATAGCCATGGAGCGCCGGATCGTTGGCGAAGGGTTTCTGGTGCATCAAACTGCGGGGAGCATTAAGTTTACGTATACTTTAGAATCATACGTTTTCTCAATGGGGAGTTGCTATATAACGTACACGAGGATGTCCTTGCAAGAAGTTATTGTGAGAACCGGGGAGATAGGCTAAGTGCCTAAGATATCTGAATCACACACGATCAAAACGTACAGTACGGAAACGCGCACTACACCACTACATCCCAGAATTTATGACACGGTAAAGTATCTGATAACAGTATAACATATCTATGGACTTGTCCCGTTTTGTCCCATTTTGTTCGTACTCATCTAAGTATCTGATGACAGTATAACACATCCACAAATTCATCCCGGTTTGTCCCATTTTGTTCCGTTTCATATTTATCAAAGTATGTTACATCCATAAGATCACACGGCGGAGTATCTGTTCGGTACTAGCACTCACGTACCTGCACTTCACAGCCATAGTACATAAAAGCAAATAACCGTGATCCGTTTTATACGTACCACAGTACAACATATCCGTAAACGCCTTTCACCCAATATTCAAGTGTATATGAAAGACAGATCAATACACACGCCCCGTTTTATACACACCCGGTGAGAAAGCGGTACCCTACTTCAAAGTCACCGTTGGCGATGTAGTTGAAGACCTTCTCTAGGCCAATCCCTGCCCGCTCGGGGATGCTGATGGCGTATACCTTTAGCATAGCAACAGAATAAACCACGTGTTACTACAGACAACAAACTGCAGGGTTATTAGGGTTTAGGGTTCAGGGTAGGTATGGTTATCTATAAAAAACTGCTACTGATGGCGTGCACCTGAAACGCAACAATAGAACAACCACGTGTTACTACAGGCAACAAACTACAAGGTTATATGGGTTTAGGGTTTATGGTAGGTATGGCGTGTTCTATTGATAGACTGCTACTGATGGCGTACACCTGTAACAGAACAATAGAATAACCACGTGTTACAACAGACAACAAACTATAAGGTTATTAGGGTTTAGGGTTTAGGGTAGGCATGGTTATCTATTAATAGATTGCTACTAATGGCGGGCACCTGAAACGCAATACCAATATCAACCAACTGCTACCACAAACAAAAAACTACACCGTTGGAAAGGTTGGCGTGATCTATTAATAGACTGCTATAGACATGACTCGTTTGTCATTCTTACATTTAATAATATATCTTGACATCAATATACCCGGAAATCAGTGGAAGTAACACTATGATATAGATGTACGTAATATGCATCTTCTTCTATGTAGGTCTGGCTCAGCTATTATGTAGGTATGCCTCTACTGTTAGGTAGGTACGCCTCTACTGTTAGGTAGGTATGTATCTACTACACACACATATCTAGCACATTTTCACACCCCCATGAGCTTACTTGGGTGAAAAATCGCTCTAGTTGAGCCCTCATCTCAGACGGTTCACTCAATTGACTCAGCACAGTGGAACCCAAATGCCACAGCACCCCAGGAATATAGTCAGCCTTCCTAGCCAACACAGCCAGGCCTGTAAGGACAATGGGTGTGTACACAGATGAGATATGTGAATATATATATATATATATATTTATATATATATATATATATAAGTATATACTATATAC